CATTAAAATAAAACAATAGGGAATTATGAAGAAATAATACCCAAGGATTTCTCAGAACTGAAAAATCTTGACAGTTTCCAAACTGTGAAAGAATCCACCAGTACCTAGCCTCATTGGTGAAAGTAACTCCAAGGCACACCATTTTGAAAAGATGATTCTAAAAGCTTTGCAAGAAGGAAGAGATGTAACATACAAATGGGCAGAAATCAGAATTGTTCAGATTCTTCAGCAGAAGTGGTGGAAGGAACAGAACAATGGAGTAGTGCTCTCAGAATTCCAAGGAGAACTCCAGCCTCTAGCCTGTGATTTGCAGCCCACCAGTCCATCCAGGTAGAATAGAAACATTTTCATACATGAAGGTCTCAAAAACTTACATCTCATTTTTAGGATTTTCTGGAGCATTACTAGATGTTGTACTTCACAAAAATGAAAGTGTAAAACTAGAGAGGAGAAACGTAGGAGTCCACCTTGGAGAGAGACAGAGGGAGTAAATCTCTGGGAGGATGGTGATGAGATGCTGGAAGCAGATGAGAGACAATGATTAAGACTCCTGTTGGAGGACTCTAGCTGTAATGACCCAAGAGAAGAAAATTGAACTTAGGTTGAGGGAGTTTCAAGGTTTTAGAGGAGCATTTTAGGAGAAGTTAGTGGTTCATGGAAAACCATGCAAATTTTAAAATGAGGTAGTTATTATCTTCAGGGAAAAAAATTTGCATGCAAAGTTTTAGCAAAGCATAGTTCATGGCTTAGCTGTGAATTAAATTTTGATTTGGTAAATAGGGGTGATAATAACTATATTGGGAAGATAACACTTCATATTCCATAGTACGGGGACTTCCTGTTTTTGAAAAAAAGTTTTATTGGAACACTGCCATACCCATTTGTTTGCATATTTGTCTATGGCTGTTTTCGCATCACAGCAGAATTGAGTAGCTTCAACCATATGGCCTACAAGGCCTAAATATTTATTATCAGGCCTTTTTATAAAAATACTTGCTGACTCCTCTTCCATAGGAAGAAGCCAATAAAATAATGCTTAAAATCGAAAAAGAAAAATCTAATAGCACTAATAACCATGTTATTTAAAAGAGAATGGAAAGGAGCAGAAGAAACAGCTGAAGTTCAAATGATTGCATTTTGGAATAGTGAATCAAGAATGAGGAGTAGAATGGAGACTTTATTTTTTTGCTTGTTTGTTTCAGGCTTTATGTTTTTATTGAATTCTTAAGCTAAGTACATGTATTTGAAAGGGTGTGAAGGAAAAGTAATGAGAAAATTTGATTGGATTAGTAGAACAGAATGAGCAGGAAAGAAAAAAGAGGTAACTAGTTATAATGAAAGTAGGAGTTTAAAGCTTTTTCAGAAAGTAAACACAGCTTTCCCATTCATTCACTTACTCATTCCGCAGGTAATCACTGAAAAGTCCACCACCAAGTGCTACACTGCAGAGCAGGGTTCCTCCCTGGAAGATGCTTGGGCACTCTGTAGCTGATGGCATGCACAGACAGGTGAAAGATGATGATAATAACATGGTGATACAGCTGCTTTAGTTTAGTGCCTATCACAAGATGCTTAAGAGATTTAGGCAGGTCAGGGAAGACATCTGGGAGAACATGACACCAGATCTGAATTTTGAAGGATGAGACCACATGAGGCAGGGCCTGAGCAAGACCTGAATGAACAGGCAGGAGTTGGAACCCACAGGTGTTCAGTATAGTTGGATGAATGGTGGAAAATAATATCAGAGCTGTAGACAAGAACCAGAGGCCAGATCACATATGCAGGGCTCTGTGCTATGAGGAATATGTTTTTATTTTGTTTTAAGACACAATACCCACTGAAGAGATAGCATCTGATTTTGTTTGCACTTTAGGAAAACATACTGTTGGTAGCAATGAGGGTAATAGGGGTGAGGGTAGAAGACATGGAAAATAGAGAAGCAGTTAAGAGGCGGTTTCAGGCAAAAATGACAACAAAAATATACAAGAATAAACCAGAGTCAGCTGGAGAGGAACCAGGGAGGGGATTCTGGATCAAAAAAAGGAATTATGGGAAAGGGAAGGAATCAAGGATGACTCAGTTTATACATATATATATGGTACTGATTTTCGGTTTGGAAGAGTTGTGGGGTTTTTTGGTGGTACCTGTGGAATGTCTCAGGAACTGGCCAGGATGTGGTTGGATATAGCCACATAGAGGTCAAGAGGAGGGCTTAGATTTGGAAATGTACAGTGGTCATTGTGCAAAGAGATGAAGTTTGGGAGTTGAGTAGAAAACTCAGGAAGCCTTTTTGGTATTGACAACATTGAACCCTGGGAACAGTGATATTTGAGGATTGAATTTTATCATAGGAGGAATCTAGGGAGGAAGCTGAGCCTGGAAACCTGCAATCAGTGGGATCAAGAAACCAGTGAGATAGAATTTTAAGAAAACAAAATGATCCATAGTTTAAAATGCTGCAAGGCAGTCAAAATGAAGCCTAAAAATGCCCATTAGATTTGGCAACTAGAGAGTCATTGCCAATAACAGCTTTAGGGAATTAATATGAAAGGAAGTAAAATTTCAGGTGTGTAGAAGATATGTTTGTGTTGTTACTGTTTTGAGATAGAGTTAAACCTGTTTCTTTGTTGAGAGGAGGAGAGCTATAGAAAGGGGCATATTTAGTGATAACTTAGGGAAAAGAAACGATTCTCCACCTGCGGAGCTCAGTCCCATTCCAGACTCTGGGAGTATAGTAGGAACAAGACAAAGTTTACCCTGTGTGTGTCTTTGTGTGTCAGGAACAGGCAATAAGCTTAAAACCAAATAGATACATAGGAAATCCTCACTTCAAGCAAAACAACATATAAGGAAACTAATTTTTCCTCATCAACATTGTAACAAAATGCCTTAAGTTGTTTCACTGAAAGTGGTTGTTTCACTTAAAGGCGTAGCTTTTTCCAAGAGTCTGGACATTAAGTAAAGTCTTACTATACTATGTCAGGGAGTAATAAGTACCTGGAGGAAAATAAAATTAGGATAAGAAGATAACAGCGGTGCTGGGTGGGAGGTGAGGGTGCTGTTTTTTGTAGGATGGCTAGGGAAGGCATTGCTGCTAAGGTGACATTTGAGGAGAGTCCTGAATGAAATGAGGAAAGAGTAACTGTCAGGTAATCAAGAGGCTGAGGTGGCTGAGAAGGGCGAGAGAGGGTGGATCTCAAATACAGATGGGAAGGTTAGTTGTCCCCAGGAGATGGGACAGTGTTGCAGAATTTTTGAACTGGAGAGAGAGAGAAAGAGAGAGTAACTTAAAAAAAAAACTTTGAAAGAAACTTGGCACCCATTTTTCTTAATAGGAGCATCCTTAGATGGGTGAGTGTTAAGAAGTAATGGGAGCTTTTATATTGTTTGTTTTTGCATCATTAAAACATGATCTTCGTCATTTACATCTTCTTTCTGTGACACTGGAGGGAAAACCATAAGGACTCTTCACCATGTGGGGGATGCCACAGATTGTCATCCCTTTTAATTCTCCTAAGGCCCTCTGAGGCATATGTTGTCAGCATTTTACAGGGAAGGAAACAAAGTCTGGAAGGGGTTTCTCATGTCTTGTCCTCATTAGAGCCCAGATTCAGACTGCTTTCTGGTACTGCAAACCCTTGCTATTAAAGTACCTCCTGTAGACTGCTCACACAGTAGAGATAGGTACATGTGTCCAGTTTGTGGGAGTGGTGGGTAGTAAGGTAGGGAAATGGGAAGTTGGGGGATTTCTTACCTATCGGACTGCCTTTGCGGTTAGGAGTCTTGGTAAGAGGTGTTTGGACAGGGGTTTGAAGAAGGTGGCATTCCTTAAGACATCTCTGCTGTCTTGATTTGTCAGTCTTCACAGATGAGTTATTCTCTGTCCATATTCCTATTCCTATTCCTATCTAAAATCCCCACGGCATAACAATGTGGGATTACCTTATTTATGCCTGCTATTGTTAAAGTGGTTCTTAAGAAACAATCTCAAGGTTGAGGATGGGCATGAGTAGATTATAAAAATGCATGTTCATTGTGGAAAATCTCAGGTGTGATTTTTAGAGTTGCTTCCTATACTCTGTCTCACAGTGTCTGAGAGAGTGATGGCGGGTAGAGGCCTATTAATAGCAAAGTTCTCCATCGTTACTGTGTTCAGTTGTCTCTACTCTCATCTTCTGTGAATATGAAGGACCTTGGTAGGGGTCTACTGGATATGCACTCATTTGTGTTTGCAAAACACACACTCTTGTAATGAAATAGACCCTTGGACTGAGCAGGGATTGTTAGGTTGGCTCTCAAGGTATAGTGAATTTAAGTCATTTTCTGTGAATGAACGATTGAATAGTGTAAACCTGATTTTTTGTTATTTTTAAAAAGTTACCATTACACAGCACCAAGGAACTTGAAAATGGCACAGGCACTGTTGCAAAATTTTTGGACTGGTGAGAGAGAAAGTAATTTTTAAAAAACTTTCAAAATGTTCTTATTGAAACGTCGCACCCATTTTTCTTAATAGGAGCATCCCCAGATGGGTGAGTGTAAGAATGGGAGCTTTTATATTGTTTGTTTTTACATCGTTAGCAGCTTACCTTCTTGTGAGGGTAATTAAATGCTGCACTCCTACAGAAGCACTCACACATAACACAGCAGGGAGAGCGGGAGTCCCACCAGCTTCCACCAGTTTCCCCAATTCAGAAGTTAGACACGTGATATTTTCCGCTGTTGACAAGTTTTCTGGTTTGCCCACACAGAATTATCTGTAGAATTATCTGTATTATGTTTCTAATTAAGTATTGAGACCCTGAAATTACTTTTTGATTTGTTCTTTATTGAACCAGAAGGATCTAATCAGAAGTTTTGAGTGATGGCAACAGAGGCTGTAAAGACATTTCCCGCATTGTGCAGAAATACAAGCTTTACGGTGTATCTATTCATCTATTCCTAGCACCTAAAATTTAGCCTTACAAAAAGATGACATTGTTATATGTATTTTCTCATGTGTGCCTTCAAAAAGGTTTAAAAAGTAGAGGTAATTTAAGAGTGTCTGTAAATTATGAGGTGCTGTTTGGAGAAGTACAAGTCAGTACATGCTTATTGAACACCTATTAATGTTGATGAGGTTTGTTACTTTGTGGGGTGGCAGCGTGCTGGTGTGTTTTGTGATCTGTTAGGGTACCAAAAATGATTTGACAGGAACACAAGATATGCCAGAGTTTATTTTCAGTGAACCAGACAGTTATTCTACAGTAACATCGCCATCATTCATATTTCACCTGCACATTTTCCCTGTCCCAGAGGATGGCCACGTCTGATGTGATGGATATTTTCACATATTACCCACCTCATCTCTGACCTTCCCCTGAGGGTCAGGTTCATTTCCTACTCATTCATGGCCTTGGGATATATTTCTTAAAGAGAAACTAGCTTACAAAAGGATTGAAAACGTTTATAGATCTAGTGGTACATTGTCTGGGTGCTCTTCAGAAAGGTTGAAACAGTTAAAAGTGCCATTAGCAATTAATTATAAGTAGGACCTGTTTTCCCACATTCCTGGCAGTGTTAGGGGCCCTGTTTATTTTTGTTCCAGTGCTAGTTTGTGGTAGTGAATCAAAAATCGTGCTTTCTGATGTCCCTGCTGCATCATACTTATAGCAGTTCTTTATACATTAAAAAGATAATTTTCTATTAACATTGGTAGAGTTTTCCTGTAGTGTTTTGTTTTGTTTTCTTTTGGAGACAGGGCCTTACTCTGACACCTAGACTGGAGTGCAGTAGAGCAAAATCACTGCAGCGTGGACCTCCCAGACTTGGATGATCCTTCTACCTCAGCCTCCCCAGTAGCTGGGACCACAGGTGGAAGTCACCACACCTGGCTAAGTTTTGTATTTTTTGTAGAGACAGGTTTTTGCCATATTGCCCAGGCTGGTCAACAAATCCCTAGGTTCAAATGATCTGCCTGCTTTGGCCTCCCAAAGTACCGGGATTACAAGTGTGAGCCATTTGCACCTGACCTTTCTTTAATTTTTCTTTTAATTGCTGTCCATAAGTTTATTGTCTTTATATGAAAAATTCTTATAGAAAACTGGTTTAGCTCTCAGCAGCCTGCTCCTGAGCTCTGAGGAAGCTTGCCTTCTTTTGAGCTACCCGATCTTTCTTCTGAGCAAGGGACATTTTGGGGCGGTTCCACCTCTTCTTAACTTCTTTCTTGGGCTTCTTTTCATAGACTGGATTCTCTCGTATAGCCACGTGAACTTTCTTATACATCTCCTCCATGTCTGGAGTTATGCTGTTCTTTATGTATTGAAAGAACTGTTTCTTGTAAGCATCTCCATCATCTTCCATTAAGTTGCGCATGTAATCTGCAACATTCTGGTCCATGATGTGCTTCCGGTGTACTTCTGCATTAAATTCCTTGCTTTCAGAATCATAACCAGGGAATCACTTGGTACTATGAGGGATAGACAAGCCTCCATCCACAGCACCCTTCAGGGCACCAAAAACTTTATTGCCAGTGGTAGTTCTGGCAAGGCCTGCATCCAAATAGTGGGTAAAGGCACCTGGCTGATCATCAATACTTTCCCCATTGTATTCATCACCAGTCACCTCCACTTGGCCTTCATAGATCTTGTCCATGCCAAACCTATTGAGAAGCCTGCGGGCCAGCAGCAGGCCAGTATAATACGCTGCAGCGTAATTTGTCAGGCCAACCTTCACACCATATTTTGGCAGTTCGTGTGCATATGCTGCGCAGACTATCACATCCCCCCTATACAGGCATAAGCAATCTGACAAATGATATCTCTGTTTGTTACACAAACTATCATCCTGTATTTGGGTGTGTTGTATTTATTTTTATCCTGTATCACCAAGCGTTTCCGAGCATAGTAATCCGTTTTACCCTCTTGTTGTCTTCTAAATTTCACTTGGTATCTCTTAAAGTAGACCTTATTCTTAACAACTTTAACAAACCCCATCCTGCGGAACAGAGACCCGTGTCTGCGGCTCAACAGAGACCTACAGGCCCAGCAGTGCTGAGAGGGGGCGGGGGCTTTCTGTAATTTTTAACGACTTCATTTTGTTGGGCAGAATTTTATTTGAGACATAGGTCTTATTATTGATAATACCCTTTTTTATTATCTGGAATTTTCCCCCAAACTTCTTTTTGACTTTGTGGAAGTTTGTGTTGGTTGAGAATATCAGTTTTCTGGGGTCTGATAATTCAAAGATTTGAAATAAAGGAGATAAACTTGCACAACATAATTTACCTATAACTGACTCCACTGTAATGAAGCTTAGGAGAGAAGTTTTTTCTTTTTTTCTTTTTTTTTTTTTTTAATTTTAACTGCCTCGATAACGAGCACTTAACCATTTATCTGGAATTTATGGCTTCTTGAGGTAAATAATTGTTCTATAAAACACTAACCCTTGCATTGATTCTTAGACGCATCATTTACTAACTGGACTTGGCTTTCTCTGATTTAGCCAGTTAATCTCTGCCCTCCTCTCCTTCCTCTTAGCACCTGACCATGCCTGCTTTCCAGCTACTTAACCTCCTTGGCTGCTGCGCTCTTTGCAAACAGCAGCAGTACCTTGGTAGACATGTTTCTCTAGGACAGAATCCATGGCATTTTGTGGTTCTTTTTTTTTGAGACGGAGTTTCGCTCTTGCTACCCAGGCTGGAGTGCAATGGCATGATCTCGGCTCACCGCAACCTCCACCTCCTGGGTTTAGGCAATTCTCCTCCCTCAGCCTACTGAGTAGCTGGGATTACAGGCACGCGCCACCATGCCCAGCTAATTTTTTGTATTTTTAGTAGAGATAGGGTTTCACCATATTGACCAGGATGGTCTGGATCTCTTGACCTCGTGATCCACCCGCCTCGGCCTCCCAAAGTGCTGGGATTACAGGCTTGAGCCACCGCACCCTGCTTGTGGTTCTTTTAATAGAACATGCCTCTAACTCTTAAGAGGAGAAAAATCTAAATTGATAGACAGTAAAATGATAAGCTGTAATTGCGGTCCCAAGGATGATTAGAATCATGTCTTTCATGTTTCTGTTTGCGTCTAACATGCCATGAACTCACTTAGAATTGGAACAATCTCACTTTAATCTTTTTTAAATTGCAAATTGACAAATTATGGTTGTATATATTTATGGCGTACAGAGTGATGACATCATTTATGAATACAATGTGGAATAACTAAATCAAACTAATTATCATATCTACCACCTCAAATGCCTATCTCACTTTAATCTTAAAGCTCTAATCTTAAAAGCTCTTATTAAAACTTAATGCCTACACATCACATTAATTTGGATATGAGAAATAATTAGGAAACTTAAGGGGAATTTGGTTTTCTGAGTGAATGGTGTTCTGTAGCTGTGTGGGATGACCAGGAAATCAAAGTCAACAAAAAATAGGAATCAGTGTTTATATCCCAGCTAGAACCAGAAGCCTGAGATTCTATGATCTTTGTATTGTTTGTTAATGAGGAAGGTAAGAGCTTCAGATCCGAGGCAGTAGTATTACTAGTTAGTGTTGCAGCAGCCCCAGATTCTGGGTTTCATAGACTAAAAGTTTGTTCTTTTCCCTGAGATGCCGCAACAGGCCTTTGTACCTCTAAAGACAAATTAGTGGGCTCTTACTGTGTTTACAAGTCATTTATGAGAAGTTCAGTGTCGTCAAGGGGCATTATGGTTGCCGTGGGAATAGGGGCTTAAGTCCTGGGTAGAGTAAAATCAGTCCTTTTAAGAAATTATACAAAGTATTGCAATGGAATTTTTTTTCAAGTAATAAATGCACGTGGTTTAAAATTTCAAGTAATATACCAACTCCTGTCTCCTTAGAGAGAATTGCTTTGAACTCTTAGCTCTTTTTTTATTGTCTATTTTTCTGTTTCCTGATTTATCCATTGTAGACATCGATTGTCTTCTTCCGAAAGGGATGAGGGCTTACCTTAGTTCCTCCCCATCTCCTAATACCTCTCAGTAAAGGCATGTTACTGGTTTTGCCCCTTTATTAGCTACCAGTAACTTTCCTACATGCAGCAGCTTTTATAACTGATTTCATCTACAAACACAGTATCTTTTTTACTTCATTTTATTGGGTACCATAAATTAAGGTCTAATAGAGTTAGACCCAATTAGGTCTACACTCAGGGCTCTGGGAGTCGTTGGACATAAATGTTCTGCAGAAGTAATCCCCTACTTCTTGTTTTCCTTGTGTGTTAGTTAATCTGGAGATACTGAAAATGTCTCATTTTGGGTTTTGTTATAATCTTTGACTTTTAAAAAATGTTTTACAGAAAGAAATATCTTCCTTCAATAGATGAAGATGAAAATACAGAAGAAAGAGAAGCAGGTAAGTGAGCACATTTCTTTTAAGTGAATGCATCCAGGGTATCTTAGTGCTTTTTCAACAAGGGGAGACACCTGGCAGCATTGGCTCCATCCCTTAACCTCTTAACTTCCCCTGTTGCCTGTATTATTGTAACTGAGAGCTCTGTTCTGAATGACTTAATATGAATTTTTCTTGTTGCTCAGTTCATCTTCACAGTAAATGTAATAGTAGGAGTAAATGTAATGAAAACTGTACATCAGAATATTACTCAAATTAGCCAAATAGAAGGGAAAAACTTCCTCCCTTGGAACAGCTTTCTGAGTCTTATCTGAAAGATGTGACCAATTTGTTACAGTTTATACATGTATGCTTCTGGATTTTTGGTTAAACTAAAAGCTTTCTTACTTACAAAATCCTTATTTATAATGATCTGTGGATGGGTTCTCCCTAGAGAGAACAGTGAAATAATGAGAAGAATGGGAGGATAACTCTTTGGTATTTGGTTTTTTGAAGGGGATGTGGAATGGAGAGTGTGATTTATCTTGCCAGGATCTCTTTCCTTGGTTGGTACTGCTTTGCTGTGGGTGGTAATATATTCAAAGGAACTCTGAGACCTCAGTCAGGAGGTGAATTGGGAGATTTGTCTCTGTCTCTTGGAAATGGGCTATTTCTGATGGACTGGTTTTTCTTTTACAGAATTGAATGATAACCCGGGAACTGGGGTATCTAAATCTCTGCTTTTCACTGGGACTCTGTAACAAAGAGGTTGGATGAGACTGACTTAGGGTTATAGTTCCAAGGACTACCCTCTGGTCTGTCCTCAGTGGATAGGTTGATTTTGGAAATTAATTAACTCATCTGCTGCCAGATGACAAGAAGAACAGTGACTAAATATTGTCTTCACACTGGATTTATATCTGTCCTAGCTCAAAGAGTTGTCAGCTGATAGGCAAATACTACATGGAATGCAGTTCCATCTGCCAGGAACTTACCCTATGGATATACTTAGGTGTGCAGAACTGTGTGTATAAAGGCTGAATTGCTGTTTCACATATGTTAGCAAAAATGGAAAAGAACCTACACATCCATCAAAAAGGGAACTATTTAAATCATAGCACCCCCACCTAGTGGAATATTATGCTGCTGTTAAAAAGAACACAGCACTGGCTGGATGCAGTGACTCACACCTATAATTCCAGCACTTTGGGAGTTCGAGGAAGGCAGATCACCTGGGGTCGGGAGTTCAAGACCAGCCTGGCCAACATGGTGAAACCCCATCTCTACTAAAAATACAAAAAAATTAGCCAGGCATCGTGGTGGGTACCTATAATCTCAGCTACTCAGGAGGCTGAGGGAGGTGAATTGCTTGAGCCTGGGAGGCAGAGGTTACAGTGAGCCAAGATTGTGTCATTGCACTCTAGCCTGAATGACAAGAGCAAGACTCCTTCTGAAAGAACACCTTACTGAAGAGAACCTCAAACCTTCAAAACTGTTGTCATTTGTGATATATGAGCAGGTTTATATTTCTTAAAGGAATCTGCACTTCTTTTATTTTTACACATCCTTTATGATAAGCATTTATTTAAATCAAAACATTCTATAGCAATTACATCAAAATGAATTCTGGTTTCTTTCTTGTGAGATTTTCTGGTTTATGTTAAGACCTTTTGGTATGTTAGCCAGCTGTTACGTAGCTTCAGTTGGATGGGTTTTTGTTTTAGACCTCATGATAAGGTTGGTGAACAGAACGGGATTTTTCATTTGAAAGTTAATATTAGATGCGATAGAGAAAGAGGTTAAATAAGTGAGCCACTTGCTTCTGCTCCTCTTATAAATACTGATGATAGGCCATACTGATGACTGAATTGTAAGAAGTTGCAGAGCATGAAAATAAAAAGTTGTGTTCAAGTTAAAGCAAAATAAAGGCTCCAGGATGGAGAGAGTTCAGTGCTTAACAGAGAAGAGGCCCATATTCTGGAATGAACTTCAGCTTTGATGTCCATAGAACAAGATTGAAATTCTGACCCTACCGTTTAGTTGTATAACTTTGGGTAAGTTCAGCCTTGTCAAATGATCGTTTATCAAAATATTTTCCTTTGTGCTTCTTAACTAGCTGGGCATTCCTCAGCACCACTGTTGATGTCATCTATGATGTCACGAGGGTGGTGGCCATCAACATTGCAGCCCACAAACTGGGCAGTCCCCACTATCTCTTTAATAGTTCCAGTAAGTTCTCTGGCTAAAGATCAGTGCTGCATCTTTTGAGCAATGTTGACAGTCTCATCAAAAGTGATATTTCCACTGTGTTTAATGTTTTTCTGTTTTTGTCTCTTGGCGGTTCCTTGAGGGCTTTGATGATCAGGGCAGAGGCAGAAGGTACTACTTCAGTCAGGGCCTGTCTATTCTGAATGGTCAGTTTCACTGTAATCCCAGACCCCCTCCAGTCACCAGTTGCCTTGGCAATGTCATCACCAACCTTTTTTGGAGACAGATCATGGGGGCCAGTGCAGTCATGGCACCAACTTCACCCCTACGATCCAATCTCATTGGGATTGAACTTCAGTGACATGGTGGAGGCAGCTGGTGTCAGATGAATTCAATTCAAGACAGCCCAAGAAGGTTGCACCTTAACCTCCCTTGAGTTGAAAGACAAAAGCCAGCCTTGTTGTTCTGTCACTGAAATGGGAGCAATCATACACGCCTCACATCATAAGATTAGGATTAAGTGGGGTAATTTGTCAAGTACTTGGTATTCAGTTTGTCAGTGGCAAGGAATCTTTCAGTTTAACAGTAAAAGTAACCATCAGACTTTTGTCTTTTCTCTTACCATGATTCTGAGGTGTTAGAAGTAGCAGCAAATAAAACATCCACCTTTTAAAAACCCTCATTCCTATTAATTCACTTTTCCTCTTCCCTGGAGAAAAATAGCATGTAAATATACTCTGATCTTGATAGTCCTCATTACTTTGTTCAAAATCTTATCAAGGTAAATTAGACTGAGATGGTAGATTTTTACAAATTAAATGAAAACTCAGTAATAAATAATCATGCTTCTTATTAACCAGAAAGGGCATAATAGAAGTACTGTGCCCAGAACAGAGGATTCAGAGATTGACTTTGTTTTGCCTAAAGAAGGGTTATAAGAAAAATAGACTTTAATAAAATGTTTAAAAATGAATCACTCGGGAGAGCTATAGACTTTTTATCTACATTAAAAAGAACTAAACTGCTTCTAAGAAATATGTTTATTTTAATTCTTAAGATGATTAAGCATTATTAGGCAGAAAAAAAATTAGAGAAATAAAATGTGGCTGGGTATGGTGGCTCACATCTATAATCCCAGCACTTTGGGAGGCCGAGACAGGTGGATCACCAGAGGTCAGGTGTTTGAGACCAGCCTGACCAACAAGGATAAACCCCATTTCTACTAAAAATACATAATTAGCTGGCCATGGTGGTGGTGCATGCCTGTAATCCCAGCAACTCAGGAGACTGAGGCAGGAGAATCGCTTGAACCTGGGAGGCAGAGGTTGT